CAAGCGCGGTATACGAATCAACCTTGCCGATGTCATCTGCAGAAGTCGCAGAAACGAGAAATAAACAAACACTTATTACAAAGAAAGTTGACGAGATCATCCTTTCGCTTTTTTTTTTTCGTTTTTAAAAGTGATATTAGGATTATCTTTCGTCTTATTGCGATATATAGCAAAATGCAGGTGTGCGGGTAGAGAAACCAAGGTAGCAGACGATAGTGTCCTGACCGCAAACGTCGGTTGAAAATGGACCAAGCGTCAGTATCGAGGGCTTGCGAACAGAGGCAAAAAATTATGACATTAGACGAGAGATTGAAGTTAATTCGGGAAGTTGGGGCAAGAAGGGAACAAATTATGGGAAAATTCGGTCCTGCAGTAACTGCACACACGAGACAGCAGGCGTGGCTCGACATTGCCGATGCAATGAATGAGCAGGGAGCTCAGAGGACCGCAAAGCAGCTGAAGGAGGCGTGGCAAAACCTCCTGAAAAAATGCAGAAAGGTCTACAGCGCCTACAAAAAGCATGAAGGGCGCACAGGTGAGTCGGAGGAATTTGCATATTTCGAAAAACAAACTAGTTTTCAATTGTTCGCTTTAAAGATGAGTGGGGGGGGGGGGGGGGGGGCAGGGACACAAAAAATAAACAGAACCTTTTCTGCCATGAATTATAATGCCGTGTTTGCATTTAATTTTTTTATGGCATGACTGATGACAGATATAAAAGTGAGTGTTGACGTGTAACTTTCCACTACATTCCTGTCCCTGTTCGAAAACAGTAATAAAATCAAAAGAGGCAACATCTCAAAACACTTTATTGAAATTTCCTTTAACCGTGTTTTAGTAACCGAGACACACATGAAACAGCAAAAAGTGTGGTAGACCTGAGACAGAGGAGATCAAAATGTTGAAAGCACACCACCTAAACTGTGCCTTTTCTGTTGTTTTTAAGAAAACAGTCCTAAAACTTAGGGCATTGTTGTTCATCGAACACGTCGCTGAATACCCTACACTACTGCATCCTCAAGGCACACAGAAAGCACTATGTACAAAGTTGACTGCAGCACAATTGCACGCAGCGATGTGCACGTTGGAAGGTCACTGTTGCGAGATCACTCCATTGCAATGTTAAGAAGTTACATTTCTGCCACACAGTATAAATTACTATGCTTTTATTTGATGCTTCATAATGCCGTTGGATTTCTGCTGTTTATATTTTAGCTTGGTAGTTGGTTATTGATCCCCCTCCACTCTGCAATGCCTCTGGGGCCCGGGTGACTACGGAATGAAAATAATGTGCATTCATTTGGTAGGTGCTGGCCCGAACCCCCATGAACTGACGCCCCTAATTCAGGCAGTACTCGACGTTATCGGCGTCGGCACGCCGAACCTGTGTGGGCTCGATGTCATTGAGCGTGACACGGAAGAGTGAGTGGATTACTCTTACATCAGTCTGTATGACAAGTCAACAGCACTGGGTGCCGGGCATGCAGAACAGCTCTGTTATTAATGGTGGGACCCTAAGGAACTGATGTGAGAACAGGGAGATTGTAAAAATTGTCATAGTGCCATACACACAATATCTAATTGGAAATCAGCGCACTTTCATGTATCACTACTGCGTGATGCAGGTTAGGGATAGGGAGCCCAGGCTAGCGGACATACTGCACTGCCTTTGGGTCACTTATGGCAAGCATGTGATCGTGAATTTCTCTTCCTTTTACTCATACGGCTGCATAATTGCTCTACAAGCAATCTGCAAAAAACACACACAGAAGGATATGTAGCAAAATGTGCTCATTACTAACATAACTAACACCCAGACAACAGAACTACCGATGTACCAAAGGCAGATATCCGAGCAAAGAGTTGTAGTACACTTTTTGATGGTTGAAGGAATGCAAGGTGGTGATATTTAGTTCTAACCTCTTAACCAACAAGTGCAACAAATAAGACGATATTCTTCCTTTGAAAAAGAAAGGTATAACCCTGTTGTTACGCATGATATTTGATTAGTTGTTGAATGAGTGAACAAACTCATCGTTTATGCTGTGACGAACTAGTGCGGAACGCAAAAAGGAAAGAGGTAGCGTTGCTGGCATCAGTTATCGGTTTAACAGCAGGATAGAAAGCCATAGCAAGATTGACTCTATACATAGCCAAGCGAAAACTCTTTTGTAGCATCGTGGATTTCGTAAACAACGAGACTTGAATGTTTGGTTTCACAACATCCTTAGGTGAAATAAATGGCAAGGTTAAGAAATTTATAAGAAAGCTTAAGGTAATGAAATACTGAAAGTTGCAACCGGTACAAGGAATATTACCGTAATATCCCGAGAGACGACCCATCCCCAACAGATAGCCCATCCTGATTTGTAGCAGGACTTTCTATTTTCAATGGCTCAAGTTGAGCTACCTTGTGAACACCGAATGTTAGCCTACCCCTTATTTTTACCTAATGTGCTCTCAGTTTTGGGTGGGCGATTTCTCGGGATATTACGGTGAGCATGGATTTCTGCATGAGCACCATGTGTGTGGTCCACTCGGAGATGCTTGAAGCATCAGAGAGTTTCTGTTCTACAGTTAAGTGCACTGTGGCAAAATTCCAGCAACATGTCGGGGTTACAAACACTGTATGTTATACGTATGTTGCCTGCACACTCCTAATAACTACAGCAAATCACTTCCTGCGTATCCATTTGTCACAGCGATAGCTTGAGGCAAACGGCAGCGCCGCAGCCTCGGGCGTCAGGAAGCGGCCAAAGGGTGGCAGCAGCAGAAGAGTGGGCAGCAGCTCCCCGTGTCTTGCAGACGAGACGTTGGTGCCGGGAAGCTGCGCAGAGGTATCAGCAGCAAGCTGAGGACCAGCAGCAGATGGAGGCGGAGAACCTCCTGTTGGATAGGGAGGCAACAAAAAGAGCCATAGATGCCTCCAATGCACAAATCGCTGCAGCAGATGCTGCTAAACATTACTACACTGAAATGCTAAGGCTACAAACCTTGCAGGCTGAACTTCAAATTGAGCTTTTGAAAAAACAATTGGGAAAGGAGTAATCAGAACAGACCAAGGGGGGGGGGGGGGGGAGCATTAAGTTCTAAGATTTTTTTTTTTAGATTGACGAAGCAAGGGCGGATGTGAAATAATAAAAGTACATTTTGAAATGCAAGGATTTGTGAAAACCTCAGTATGTTATGGGGTAGTCGTCCCTGGAGAAAAACACTCGACCCTATGCGACAGCCAGTAAGATGGTGCAAGTAATTTTAACGAATAATGAAATATTTTTATCGCCTCCCCAGGATTCCAGAGTACCACATTGGTATCCGACACCAGCGACAATCTAACCAGCGGAGTTTCCATACATGTGCGCAAGACTGGCGACGCGTCAAAAACATCATTGTTGGGCACTAAGGAAAGAAGCTTAACAATTCGACCCTGCTCAAAACAAAACAGCGAGTAAGCAAATAACCTAGGAAGTGCCTGCACGGCGCAAACAGTGATTATGCGTTTAAATGCATGGTTACTGGTGTGACCACTCGGTGTGCCTGATTTCTTCGAGGAGAGTGTGTCGCGGAATTTACACCGTTCAGGAACTCTGTACTCTTTTTGTTCACTTCCCGAAAAAAACAGGCATTACCATACTTCAACGTTGTTCGACAGCGATTTTATACACCCTTTACTCTTTTACTAAGTGAAATAACCAATGACAGAATTATTCCTCTTATGTACATGACCCATTAGTGGCTGTTATAATCGGACTACTGTGACGCATACAGGTTGACTCCTCTCACCTGTAGAATACTTTTAAATATGGTAATAATACCAACTTATATAGGACAGAGGCGCAATAAAATGAAATGGTATTATTTTTAAGGTTATTATTTCGCTCACTCCTATAATTACTCGCACTGAGGGCATTGATGTTCGCGTAGCCTGTAGTACGAAGACAAGCACGATGACAAACACGCAGAAGTGGGCCGAAGCTTTTCGCACAAAAGCTGCACGCACAGTTGACCGAGGCACACAACAGCAATATATTGCAGGACTTTTGCGTATGTGGTTCCATGGGTCATGCAGCAATTTCACTGTTAAACGCAGTTGCAATTATGCTGCTTGACCAACCCTAACCTTTTATAACGAGGTACACTGCAAGACATGTCAGTCAATCTTTGGGCATTTGTTACTACATACCGAAACTGGATGAGGCGAGAATGATTCTGATCCGTGCCTGCAATGCTGTTCAGAAGAGTTACCTTGTTTGGACACCGCCACATTACATCTTAAGTGCATGTCATTGTTGCAACCAACAAAAAACATGCTGCAATGAAGAGGGTTTGCGAGACAATATGGTTTGCAATGTTTGATTGAGGCACTCTTTCTGCTACAATGTTCGGAATCAGGAAAGGGTACAGACGTCTTCAATATGAGGGTGGACGCCTGAGCGGCATACGACGGGCGCTGCATCGTCTCCAAGCGACGCTTTTGCAAATAAAGGTGGATAGCAGTCGCAGCACAACATCTGCTTGCTCTAATATCTGCCAATGCTTCCATTCTTTAGCAACGAGTGAATTCCGCAAAGCCTGTTTACCCTCGAATTGAAACCATGCATGAAGAGTGCTTAATAAAGATTAAAATATCTATGTTCTCCAAGGAATATGCTGGGGTTGGTTCAGCCCCTTATATCAGCTGCTGGTAAAACCACAGCCAAAAGATGCCACAAAGCATTCAAGAAAATTTATTATATGAAATTGCGTGCCACATTCAACTTGTTATTATGGTTATCCATTTACGGAGCCTGGTAAACACACAGAGAGGACAATATCTCTGTATGTTTCTGGCATTCAAGAAAACCAGTTTGAATTGAAAAGACCACATACCCACATACTTACGCTCAACAGAAGAACTGGTCGACAAGGGCATGCCGGGCCTCGTTGCTTTCTCCACGGCCGGCTGCCATGGGCTCCACAGGAACCTCAGGCGGGATAACAGTCCCTGGCATCGCGCAGGGGTATCTCTTGGAGAGATTGTGGAGCACGCAGCATGCCACGATGATGTCGCAGCATCTGCTTGGCTCCATGCGCAGCTCGGCGTGCAGGCAGTGGAACCTGCGCTTCAGCTGGCCTATTGTCCTGCGTGCATCATATGAACAGGATGAGTATTATTTATTGAAATTACACTAATATATTAGGGCTGAGACTATTTCATGCTTTCTGAATGCTGTAGCCTACCGAAAACCCGGCAATCATTTCTTATCATTGCCAAGATATATAACAGTATGTTTACATGTAGACCATATTAAACTTCCCTCGACAAATGTTCCTCATAGCTGAGTGTAAGCGAAACACAGTTTCATACAAACAGTCGTTAACATTAGCAGTCCGAAGATGTCTGTCAACGACTTCCCTATAGCAACCCGAGCCCGGTGCAATTTGTCACATTTTTACGGCGAGTCCCAGCAGTGTGGAGTATTTTAGAATGTATGGCAAGTAGGCGTGTAATTTCTGTAAAGGTGGGGCCGGAAAAAAAAAACACGGCTTTGCATTTGTATCTTTTTGCTCTTCTGTATCCAGGTTGAACCAAAATATTGCCGTTCACACGTATGTAACAAATCCTGCCCCTAACGAACGAACAATGTGATATGTTCTCCAAAAAATATGTTGGAGAATATTTCACGTTTTTGTTTTTTGATACGATGCATGCGTTTTGCATGTCTGCTTTTTATGCAACACTGCATATATGTGTCTATGTTGCACCCTTATGCAGGCCCTCGGGCTGTATAGGGGCACTGGAAAGTACAATAAATAAATATATATTCTTGGGATAGTATTTTCTTTCTTCTCTCTTTAGGTTCCGTGCAATTACTGTTTTCTGCTGGGTCTAGAGAACACAAAACTGCATGTAGGGGCGTTACAATTAACAGTGTCTTCTGTGCTATCACAACAAAATGCTACGTTGTCTAGTGGCATTCTTTTCAATATAGCAGCCCAGTAACCCACCACGATGCGTGACTTTGTCTTACCTTTCAACAATACTCCTTGTCGTGGTGTGTGCCGTGTTGTACCTCACTTCTGCTGCTGATGATGGCGACAGGAATGGCGTCATCAGCCACGGCTGGCAGGTGTAGCCGCTGTCGCCGAGCAATAGGCCATCGTAGACGCCATCGGCCAGCTTGACTGATAGTGTGCTCTCGGTGAAAATCCGGGAGTCGTGCGTGCTTCCTGGCCATCTCGCAACCACATTGCGTATGCGGCAGGACGCGTCAACTACCACCTGTACGTTGATGGAATGGTAGAGGTGGCGGTTCACGTACACCTCCTCGTGCACGCGCGGTCCCTGGATTCCAATGTGGGTGCCATCAACAGCACCCACGACACAAGGGAACCCGGCTACGTCAAAGAACTGCTCCTGCAAGGCAGCACTCTCTGCGACGTCAGGCCACCTGCATTGCCAATACATTCACAAGTTAATTTACAGCACAATACCCTAGCATGCACATTTATGCAAAGTTTAGCCGACAACATTCGTTTTTTTTCTGCTTCAGTGTTCATCGTAAAAAAGAAATGTCGTAAATATCGCCAAATGCCTCGACAAAACAAAATGTTCGAGAAAAAAAAAGTGGGCCCACACCGCGGATCGAACCCGTGTCCACTTATGTATGAAGCAGACACCTTACCCCCCTATGCACGGTGTATGCCCCTATGCTATGCCATCTTTTCTTTTTTTTAATCCTATGCTATGTTACCGCTCATAAAACACGTAGTAGCCATTCGTGTTATAGGCTCCCTGCACTGACGTCACATCGCATACTTTTGAACACCAAGTAAAAGGGAGGAGAGGGAAACTGCCTTTGTAAAAATGTTGAGTGACAGGTTAATCTTCTCTAATCATCTGGCAGGAGAATAGCAACGCCTGTGCAAACCCGGGAGGCACAAAGGAGGACCCTGATAAGAGGTAGCTCCTTCTTTCCCTCTTCTCTGGAGGGCAGTTTCGCGTTGTGCGTATAGCCCTTTCCGGCCGAGGTGCACGACGGAGTGCGTATAGCTTTATTCATAAACAAACTCAACACAATCTGACTTTTTTTTTTTTTTTTGACTCGGGACGCTCAGGAACTCTTTACCGTATGAAGTCTTACCGTATGAAGTCCCTTGCTCGACGTGCCAAAGCTACGGTGACCTGCCTCACGGACCGTGAAGCACTAGAGACTTGCACGTGGACGTAGTCGCCTGCAGTGATGAGGAAGTTGCCTGTGGCGTAGAATTGCAGAGCGACGATCACCTGCTGCTCTGCGGACAAGGCGCAGCTGCGACGCGTCGACCGCTCCAAGTCCGGGCGCAGCGTCTCCGCGAGAAACATAATTCCCGCGCGACCAAACCGGAATCGTTGCTGCAGCGCATCCTCGTCGAATTCTTCCAGCGGATCGAGGCGGTCCCGGAACACACGTTGTCGTCCCAGCATGACGACAGCGTACTGCGCGTACGCGCGGTCTCGTCGACGTCGACGCCTCGTCCCGTTCGACATCGTTTCCGTTATCAAAGTACAAATAGGTCCGCAAATCAGTTGTTAGTAAGTCCGCAGTCGGTCGGTGGGCTAATCGGTGGATCGGTTGGGCAAACGGAAGAGAAGGCAAACAGTTGAGATCAGCAGGGGACCTATGTTGGACAAATGTTTCGTTTCTCCTAAAAGAAACGGAAGTGACGACATCGCGTCTGATTGGTTGAGGCTCGAATGACGAAAGTTCCCTACGAAAATGGGGGCGGAGACGGCGAACCGCCCCCACCGGAAATGACAACACTTTGACGTAACATTAAAAAACGAGCGTGTTGGTAAATACTTAAGCAACCGGAAAGAATAAACACAAATTCTGGACGCAAACAGACGATACAACTCTTTAGTTGTATCGTCTGTTAGCGTCCAGAATTTGTGTTTATTCTTTCCGGTTGCTTGACGTATCGTTTCCTCGGTGTTTCGTCTGAAAAGGGAACGAGTCTGTCGATGGTCTCTTCGAGGTAGCGAAATTGGAAACACGGCGTCTCGGAAACAGAGCGACAGTCTTTCTATCGTCCAACTTTATTTTGCCCTCCGGAAAGGCTCCACCGGCAGCACCGCGAAACCGCGATGCCTTTGAACTACCGGAGGAAGCTTTTCGGGGGCAGTTACGTCTCGCCAAGAATGTGGTCCGTTGATTGTGCGACGAACTGCGCGAGGAGCCAGAGTTGAGGCTGCGAGGTTAGTGGACGGTGATTTCTGTGGAACAGCAAGTGTTGTGCGCACTTTGCTTTTACGCCACGGGGAGCAAACTATGCGGGGAGCTTTCAGGGCATGGTGGCGAGTGACGAGCACATAGCGAGGAATCAGGCTACAGTCGGCATCGTTGTGCGGGCTTTGTCCCTCGCAATATTGCAGCATCTGGGGATCCGGCGCGGCTGGATCGACTTTCCCCAGACAACCGGCACGAGGGGCGACGTCGAGAGGGGCTTCCAACGGCTCGGCAGGATACCCGGCGTCATCGGTCGCGTCGACGGGACGATGATCGCCATCGTCGGCCCGTCACAGAACGACCCCACCGTCACGAAGGCGGCGTACGTCTCACCTTAGCATGAACTAACTAAGACGACTGTGCAAGTGCGAACGGCTTGACTGGAGCACTCGCTGCCCAAGCGCTCGTCAGCCGCCGGGGCTTTATCCAAAGCAGCTAGCTCGCGCTTTTAGCTATAGGTCAATGCCCGTTCTGAATGGGTTTGAAAAAGAGCGTAACGCTAATACGGTGTGGATATGTCATTTTATAAATGAGAGTTATTGTTCATCCTCCGCACAAGCGTTTGTTCGACGAAGGAAGGGAGGGTTTGTTAGCTGAAAAGCTTTCGATCTCTGTTTGTTTTCATGTCGTACGTATTAAGCTTTTAAGCATTACTCCCTGCCCTGCATGATAAAGTGTAAACTCTCCTTTGAAGAAAAAAAGCAAATTTGCCCATACTATTACGTGGATCAAAGGTAGTGGCTATTTATTATATAATTTTAATCTTTGTAACACAGACAGCGCTCTGTCTGTGTCCTTCTTTATTCAGTCCGTCGGGTTTTTTTTTTTTTTTTTGCGCTGTTTTAATACTTTAAATTTGTAAACCCCATAATTTATGGCGGTGTGTTGGTCAGCATGTAAATAGTGTTTGACAGGGCCCCATGACAATGAGTGCAATCAACTGTTTGTGGATTCAGTTGAATTAATGTCGACATATGTCTCACTATTGCAGGTGTGTAACGCCGACTGCCGGGTGATGAGCATCGACCCACGGTATCCTGGGTCGATGCACAACTCCTTCACATGGCGCTACTCGTGGCTCCGGAGCACCCTGCTCCGGAGCAACTTCGAGCAAGGCCGGCTGATAGACGATGGCAGGCTCCTGCTCGGTAAGCATACTCCATTTGTTGGTTCTGTACATGATGGCTCTGCACCACTTATAAGCTACAATATCACACATATTGTTCCAAACATGGATAACTGGCATGCGCTCTGGCCATACCTGTGACACGTCTCCTTGGAAACACTCCGACGCAGCTGTCAACTACAGGGCGGAAAGGTTGCAAACAGCAGTTTTACCTGCGTAGTTGTGAGCAATATTAAAGGGATACTACAACGAAATTTCGGTGCTTATTTTTTGGTCTATACGTGTTCAAAAGAGCAGTATCACATCAAACTCATCAATATCTTGTTAAAAAAGGCACTAAAAGGCATTTAAATAAATTAGGCAATTAGCAAAGAGCATTTTCTAGATGTCGCTAAAGCTGTAATGCCCGTCTAGGAACCTTGACAGGTAGGGATGATAACTGTCTTACCTAGAACTCTACATGCTTTGAACCTGACGCCATCCCGACAGCTCTACGGCCAGCAGAAGAGAAAGGGGGAGGGAGGAATTCCACACTCGACGGGACTCTCTTTTGAGTGTCCCAAGATGATAGAAGACTAACCCGTCACTCAAAATTCACACAAAAGCAGCTTTGGGGTTAGTTGCGGTGGCCCGATCGTTGGCGTGCTTCGACCGCTTTGGTTGCTGGAACAGCTAGGGCACCCTGACGACGTCTGCCTCGCCGCAGCTTTGCTCATCCCGAGATAAACTACATCACAATAGCACTGGATGCGACGTGCTCTCAGCTGGCTGCTCTCAGAGCGCTTGGCAGTGTGGGGTGTTTATAACGAAAAATACAGCCATCAAGCTCAAAATACAAATGTGCAATTGTCATTTACGGGTATTGTGGATCATATTCAGCCTATTTCTGAACACGATGGGTATATTTCAACTGTCGTTGAAGTATTATTTAAAAAAAAAAAACAGCATTAATATCATACATTTTCTTCTCCGACTCTGCAGGTGACAGCGGCTATGCCTTGGAACCTTGACTCATCACCCCTGTCCCTGGATTCCACGCGACCTCCACCGCTTGCGGCCGGTTTAATAAGGCACATTCTTCGATAAGGTCCATTGTGGAGCGCTGCATTGGGCTGTTGAAAAGCAGATTCCAGTGTCTGCAAAGACACCGGACTCTCTATTATCATCCAACAAAAGCCACCGTCATTATATCGTCTTGTGCAGTGCTCCACAATATATGCCTTTCATCGAGGGAGGCAGAACCGGACCCTCACGAGCCAGGGTTGGAGTCTGGGCCGAGCTCGGAGGGGTCAGTGGCGGATGACGAGAGGCTAGCTCCTGCCCACCCTCGGGTGAGCCTCTCGGACAGGGGGAGGGCTCTGAGGCAGCGCCTTGTTGCCCAGTTCCGAACCCGCCACAGCCGTGCCTCCCCGGAGCCCCACGCAAGCCACGATGGCAGTCGCGCCCACCAGGGACACCACCAGTGCCAAGGAGTCCGTCGCCACAATGGAGGTCCCGCCCATCAGGGACACCATCGGCGACAGGGAGACCCTCATCGTCCTCGCCACGGTGGCACTCCCGCACGCCAGGGACGCCACCGGCGACAGCGCATCCCTCGTCATCCTCACCTCGACTGACGCCTTCGCCACCAGAGAAGCCCCCCGTGGCTGTATGTGCCTCACGTGTTGCTCCACAGTCAAGGCCGTCCATAAGCTCCACAGTGTCAACTCCAATGCCTTGCGCAGTTCGTCGCACAACCACCGTGTTACCTTTACGGACGCGTAGTACCGCCTCCGAAATGCTATTCGGTGCATCACGGTGATGTTGATAGAGCTTTTTTTAATTTGCAAGCAGGGTGTATAAAATGCCTGGAGCAATTACAAAATCTTTTGTGGGTTATGTAGCTAGCCAACAGGGCATCTGGCTCGCCCTTGCAGGAAACGGATAACTCAATGAGGCTACTGGTGAGACACGTTTTGCTTCTTTTACTGCAATATATTGTTCGTATCGGGTTGGACATCGATTCATTTTCTCTACACTTCCATTGCCCTGTTCCATTTTACAATCTATTATGGTTACCACAGGGCCAGGTGTATTACTCGATAATCGCATATTGGATTTGTGTCAGTTTGAATGTATAAAGAAGACAACAAGCTGTGTCTTTGAAAGTGCTTTCTTTTTTTTTTACAACAATGCCGTAACATGAAAAATAAACATGTTTGAAAGCACAGGTTGCAATACTTTCTTTAAAATTGAGCATGGACTATTAAACACCGTATAAATTCTTTGTCATTATCCAGGATATATCACGGACATTATTTCACACTACACTTCACTTAATTCAGCACACTGCCATTCCGTGTGTGTTCTGTCACACATGAAAGCATGACAGATTCCATAGTAAAGGCATGTTGAGATCAACAATGATATAAGAAAACAAACAAACGAAAAACACAGGGACACAGACAAAGGAAACAGGACAAAATGCACTCTTAAATGAAGTTTATTGAAAATTTAACTTCAGTTGAGAGTGCACCTTGTCCTGTTTCCCTTCGGCTGCGTCCCTGTGTTTTTTTCGGCGCTTTTTCTGTTTGCAATGAACGAACTGGCCCAAATCTCCACATTATCTCGATAAAAGAAAAATGGCAAACCCGGAGGCCAGTTGCAGGCGGGTGGCAAGTTGTGGCTAGAGTGCAGACCTCTTGGTTTCAAATAAAGGAAACCCGGGAGCGCCCAGGGCCGAGTCCTCGCCCACCAGCGCCAAAATACGTGAGTATATGATGACGCCAGCGAGCGCACCCGGGCGCCTCCGCCCCCTGTTTGCCTGCAGGTAAAGGAAGTAATTCAATAGCTTGGTCCACACTATGAGTACACTACGCAAATTACCTCGCCTGTTTCGCCAGCTCCGTAGCCCGCGCCCGCGCCTTCGACACCCGCATGGCCCAGTAGCGTTTCCAACCTTCCGGCTCCTTCCTTGGAGGCTTCCTTGAAGGCCCGAGAAAGTTGAGCCGGGAGGTTAGCTCGTTCCAGAGACGAACTTTGTCGTCTCTGGACAGCGCCTAGCTCAGCTTAGTTGCGCCGCGTACCAGAGAGGCCATATCCTCCTGTTTCTTGAGCAGTCATTAGCGCCAGTAGTTTGAACTAGGCGCTCATCCGCGTCCCGCATGCTGTTCTAGCCTTTTATGCGAGTTTACTCTATCTAATATTTTCTGGAACGGCTACAAAAACAGTTGTTTATTTCAATAGAACACGTGTATTTTTTTAGTTTGACAA